CTCCCAGAATTCCCCAATCAGCACCTGAGGTTTGGTCACGTGACCGTGCCAACTTATGAGGGTGCAACCGTTGTAACTTTGAATCATAAATAGCCCCCCTGATAGGTCCTTGGTAACTTTGAATGGTCACTAAGTGACCAGTCATAACTTGAGAACTACCTGTAGGTGTTTTACTCCGTAGTACTGAATGATTTAATGATTTCTCTCCCAGCCTGATAAATAATCTTTGAGGAGAAATGGAAAAGTCCATTTTTTTTTGTCTCTATCAAGCGTCGGTTCAGATCTTCGCAGTCCAGATCTGCTAGCATTAAAGGTGGCCCCATTTTGTGGTTTAGCAACTGGCAGAGATTGACCCAACAAACGTGGAAGACATCACCTCCATCCTGCTGAAAATATTTAGACCTCAGGTTTTGTTCTCCTCTCTCTCCTCTTACCGGCATTCACGTTGCATACATAATTCAGCAGGAGGATCTTCTCCAGTTGCTTTTTATCAACCAGAGGGTTGCCCTGAGCATCTTTGATGTAAAGTCTTTGAACGTCAGACTCTGTGGAGAAAAAGAAAGGAGGATCAGGAGGGCTTGCCAGAAGCAAACCGAGTGTCGAAGGAACGAGGCCTACTAGATCCCCCTCCAAGTTTGCCAATTTTCTCCAAGCCAGAACTTGGCGTTCATCCTAGCTGTAATGATTTATGCTCCAGTTGAAGCTGAAAGGTCAGAAAATATGTTTGGTTCCTGACTGTGATCTCGTGGTGTGTATATCTAAACATCTGATGTCCGTTGACATCCCTTCCTTTGTGCAAATTCAGGGCAAAGACCTTTTTATCTGCAGAGCGTTTTGCTCTCCTTATTCCAGGATAAAGTATTTGGTTACTCCTTATAAAATATTCCAGGGTCCTTTTCTGCAATAGATTAGAGAAGTTTAGCAAGAAATTCTTCAATGCCACCCCCCTTTTCTCCTTCTCCTTCTCCTTCTCCTTCTCCTTCTCCTCCTCCTCCTCCTCCTCCTCCTTCCCTTCCATCTGGATTGTTGTTGTTTTTTCCTTCTCTCATTGTTGACTTATTTATGTAGATGGTGCAGTCAGAAGCAGACACTGATTTATTCATAGGCAGATTCTAGCCCGCCTTCAAATCCCTTTGCATTGCTCCAGCCGAGTTATACTTTTTTAAAATTGGTATGATTGAAAAGTCTTGAAGGACAGACACAAATCGAGTGCAAAAGGAAAAGAAGGGGAAAGAAGGAAGAAAGAAGGAAGGAAGGACAGATGATGTCTCATAAAAGGGATTAGGATTGAAAGTGAATCTCCAGAGGGGAAAAATGAGAAATGGGACTCGCCAAACTGAATAGAATCATTGATGTGTAGAACTGTGTTTTGCACAATTATATGTTTATTTGGCACTTGAATCAAAAGCACCGAGGTGCTTTTGGGTTGAAAGAATTAGCCAGTGATGCTACCATTGCCCTGGGGAAGCCCAGTTGGGGGCTCCTTTCATGCGCAGGAGCTGGAGCGAAGAACGAGAGCTCAACCCCGCCCAGCGCAGGGTCTCAAACGTGGGCTTGCTAACTCCTGCCAGGCATTCCAATGACTGGAGCCATCGTGCTCCTTATATATTTATTACTTGTATATAAGGGTATCTTTTGGATGAGTGCTAGAGGACTGGAGACCTAGTTTGATCTAATGGGGAAGGCACCAGGGTAGAAACCGGGAGACTGTGAGTTCTAGTCCCACTTTAGGCCTGGAAGCTAGATGGGTAACTTTGGGCCAATCATCAGAAGACAGTGAATTCTAGTCCTGCCTTAAGCAGGGAAGGAAACTGAGTGACTATGGGCCGATTACCAGGATTACTAGTCCTGCCTTAGGCATGAAAGTTGACCGGGTGACCTTGGGACAATCCCTCCCCCTCAGCCCAGCCCACCCCACAGGCTTTTTGGTGGGGAAAATAGGATGAGGAAGGTGTGTTGGATATATTCACCACTTTGAGTTATTTATAAAAAAACAATAAGGGTGGGATAAAAGAAAGAAAGAAAGAAAGAAAGAAAGAAAGAAAGAAAGAAAGAAAGAAAGAAAGAAAGAAAAGGAGGAAGGAGGAAGGGAGGGAGGAAGGAAGGAAGAAAAGAAAGAAAAAACAAAGAAGAAAGAAAGAAAGAAAAGGAAGGAGGGAGAGAAGGAAGGAAGAAAGGAAAGAAAGAAAAAAAGAAAGACAACAATTACAAAAGAAGTTCAAAATCATTCAAGAGAACCCGGAAAGAAATCCCTACTCACAAGTAAGAACGATAGATTATTCTCTCTACGGTGCTCCTTGAATTAAGCACCCCTATTGCTCCTAGTAGAGCTACTGAAGAGCTCATTGGCACCTCTTAATTTAGTAACCCCTCTCAAAGTTAAACAGTCCCTCACTGAAGGCTGAAATTGATTGTTCTGAGGAAGTAAAATAATAATAAAAGAACCAAACAGCAGGGCAATTTAAAGCAAAGCCAAATATTTCAACCTCCAAGTGGAGGCGTTGAGAGACACTAAATCCCCAAGTGGGTTGGAAACGGGTAACTCCGAAAAGCGGCTATCTAACATCCTCTTTTTTTTTTCTCCCTATAAAAGTGGGGAAATAATCTCTTTTGATTCCAATTCTGGGGAAGAGAACGGGCAATAAAGGGGAACATTTCACTAGTATGTGACCTGTTTAAAGAATTCTCCAGCAAGAGAGAATATCTATTATAGCTGGAGGGCCTGGCCTGCGTCCCATCTCAGTTGTAAATCTTCCTTGAGTCTGCCTTGTCTTGATTTATGTCCGTTTCATTGATCTGTAGCCTTAATTTTGCTGTATCGTTTAATATTCTTTTCGTTAGACAGCTGGGAAAAGACAGAAAAGGAGATCTGAATAAAATTATAATAATCCATCATGGCTTTTCTGTCCAACGTGAGAAGATGGATTCTTAGGTGTTTTTCCATTTGGCTCTTTCAAAATTACATCTTAGCTTTCCCCCCCCCCTCCCCATCTCACCCTCCTTCTTTTCCTTCTTCTCTTTTCTTCTTCTTGTCTTTTTAAATCCTGTCTCTCTCTTTGGGCATTATTGATCTCCTTTTAGAATAATACAGCGTTCAAGCTAGGAATCAGTGCTTAGCAAGTATTGGCAACTAAAGTATTGGCAACAACGTGGGGAGCAGTTTTTAAAGAATGGCTGGAGAACAGCATATAGGAACAATGCTGCAGAATGGATAGATGGTGCCCCCCCCCCAAATATTTCCCCTTCTAAAGATGGGAATGCCCGGGGGGGGGGGGAACAGAAAAATTGGGGAGGAGGGGAGAGTGTGTTTTTTCCTTTCCCCCCCAAAAGCGTTTTAAAAAAAGCGGAAAAAAATCTTGTCTTTTCCCCAATATTTCCAGTTTGTTACCCATCTCTACATTTCCACTTCTGCTTTTTACTCTTTTAACTGGGACCTTATAGCAAGGAGAAAGGTCATTTTTCCACCAGCGTGTAGAGCCCCTTTATTGCAATACTATTATTTATTTATTGACTTACTATTTATTTATTGACTTACTTATTTATTACTATTATTTATTTATTGACTTACAAAGCCTGGAATTTCCATTTTAAGTCATGACAGTTGTAAGTCGAGGCACCCACACGACGGACCTGATTTTATAACTTTATTTTTGCGGCAGTAATTAAGTGAACATCGTGGCTGTTAAGTGAGTCCATTCATTCCTATGAGCGTTGTGTGTGGGTTTTTTTTTTGCTGAAAGACTTTGAGGGTGGTACCTAAAACTTTGGGGCTGGGTGCCCATCTGTAGCCTTGGTCTTGTTATAGACAGATTTGCCTTTTTGAGATAAAAGACATATTCAGCTTCTTTAATAAAAGAAATGAAATATCTACCTCGATCACCAACTCCCTACAGATAATTAATGACCTCCCCCAGCGGCTTCTTCTCTTATATTGTTCTTTTCCATCCTAATCATGGAAACGAGTAATAAAAGACAGAAAGAAAGATGCAGTGGTACCTTGGTGCTCAATTGCTTTGAAACCTGTTGAATTTGGTAATCAACACATTTTGACGTGATACTTTTTTGGCTTGGTAACTCACCGTTTGTTTGGTACTTGATGCGCAAGCTTGAACGTGCTGGTGTTGGCTGCCTTGTGACTCACTACCTTATTCCTTATGGGTAATTTTTTTTTTCGGTACTCCTCGTTTTTACCAAATTTGTTCAGTACTCCTCACACTCCCATTAATTGTGCCTCCTGGAAGCATTGTAGTTGAATTAAAGAAATATGGCCCAGCAGTTAATTTGCTCCTACAAATTAGGATCAAACAGTGATGGCGAACCTTTTAGAGACCGAGTGCCCAAACTGCAACCCAAAACCCACTTATTTATCACTGAATGCCAGGCGGGCATGGCCCACTGGGTGGGTATAATTGTGGTGGTCATGGCAGACTGGGTGAGTGTGGCCAAGGTGGGCGTGGTCACCTTGATGTTGCTCATGGGGAGGGATGCCTGTGGGGGGTGGGCAGGGTTTGGGGAGATCCAGGGGGTCTCTGGAAGGTGGGGTGGTGGGCAGGAGGCTCATCCTGCAGGGTAAGGCGAGATGAAGCATGGCAGGGCTGGGGTGCCATTGTCGCAAGGCAAGGCGAGGCAGGGGCCAGGGCGGCTGCTGCCTGACACCATCAGCTCCCGTATACAGAGGCCAGTGAGCGCATGGGGGCAACAGTGACCATCAGCAGCCACAGCCTGCCAGCCCCTCAACAGGCACACTCTGGAGCTCCGCAGCCTGCCGCCAGCAGTTCAGAGAAGCCACCTCTGAGCTGGATGGCTGGCCGACAGCTGAGGAGGCAATGCAGGGGTCGTGCCTGGGAAAAGGAGAGCATGTGAGGCCAGGAGGGATGGCCATGTGGGACCTCAGTGAGTTAGCGGGTGGTTGGTTGAAGAGGGACAGTTGCTATCTCTGGGGCATGGCATGCGTGCCCACAGAGAGGGCTCTGAGTGCCAACTCTGGCACATGTGCCATAGGTTCGCCACCACTGTCCTACAACTATCCCATTTCTGCATTAATTTATGAGTATATTATGGTATAGACGTGTCCCAAAGATGCTTTTTTTTCCAAAAGGCAACTGGACTTTGTTTTTCCTTGAAGATGTTTTGCTTCTCCGCCAAGAAGCTTCTTCAGTTCTCCAGATGAGAAGTGAAATGTCTTCAAGGAAAAACAAAGTCCAGTTGCCTTTTGAAAAGGCATCTTTGGGACAACCATGACCTGGATGACTGAGGATCTCCATGGACATATAGAATAGGTACCAATTTTAAGTACATGCTTCTTATTCTTCCCCCCCCTGAAATGTATCTTCTTATAATGAGGTGCATCACCAGTTCTATAGGCATCCTTCTCCTAAGCCTTCTTGGATACTTACGTATAACATTGTGGACTTCTGTGAAGTCTCGATGCTCTGTCTCCAGCAGTGGCTCAATCTTGGTGTACATGTTGCACAGGGACTCATAGCTTTTCCTGCAAAGGGGAAGGGAGGCATTGATGACAAGGCTGAATAACCGATGAGATAGATGTGGAGAAGCTCAGCAGAACATCTCACTTTCTTCAGCCCTGGCTCTGTCCAAGTATTCGTGTGACACAAGTCTCACAATTCCTAGCCTGCGTGGTTGATCCCTGTGCTAGTTGAGAATTCTGCACAAGTCCTCTTAATGGATCTGGAAGTGGCTGAGCTACTACCTACCGCTGAGCACTACCCCCACCAGGACTTAATTTACACACCGCCTCATGCTGTCGGTCGTGAGCCTCTCATCATAGGAACTTTTCCAAGGATAGTAACCTGTGAGGAACTTCCAAGCTTCTGATCTGACAGAAAGATCCAATCCCTACAACAAAAACAACATTCAAAAAGAAATGGAGGGAAACGGTGACCTTCAGGTTGCTTATTTTAGTGCGACCCCAGCCTCTTTCCCAAGCCACCAAAGGTGTGATTGCTACAGAAGGATTTTGACTAACCATCCTAGATCATTTTGCTCCAGAGTCAATCATTACCACCTGCCTTGGAGAAGTCTTCTTTTCGGCACCGTCCAGTTCTGTGTAGACCAGTGGTGCCAGAGGCGGCACTCGGAGCACTCTCTGTGGGCACACGCGCCATGCCCTGGAGATGGCAACCATCTTCAATCAGCCACCCGCTAACTCGCTGAGGTCCCACGTGGCTGGATGCATTCCAGCACCCATGCGCTTGCTGGCCTCTGTGTGCGGGGGCCGATGGTGTCAGGCAGCAGCCACCCTGGCCCCTACCTCACCTTGCCCTGTGACATGGCACCCTCACCCTACCTCGCCTTGCCTTGCCTCACCCCACAGAACCAGCCTCTTGCTCACCTCCCCACCCGCCAGAGACCCCTGGATCTCCCCCAACCCTACCCGGCCCCCACAGGCATCCCTCCCCACGAGCAACATCAGGCTGGCCGTGCCCACCCTGGCCATGCCCACCCATCTGCCATGACCACTGTAGCCACGCCCACCCAGCGGGCCACGCCCACCCAGCACCCAGCAATACATAAGTGGGTTTTGGGTTGAAGTTTGGGCACTCGGTCTCTAAAAGGTTTGCCATCCCTGGACTAAGCAATAAACAGCTAGCATGTCATTTTAAGGCATCTCGTTGCTTTGAAAATAACTCATTTAATGCAAAGGGAAGAGATTGCTTTCAGAATTATCTGACCTCCTCTTCCCTTGCGGGATCTATGCTCATTTCTCCAACCTGGTTCCTTCCAGAGATGTGAGGACTACATTTCCCAGAATTCCACCCTTTGTCCATGCAGGCTTAGAATGTTGGGGCTTGTCCTCAGGATTCTGGGAGTTTTGACAAGCCTGGAGGAGAGCCATGTTTGGGAAAGCGACGATTTGCTCATAACCTGCCTGATGAAAATATCTGGCTTGGTGGAAACTTTCAAAGCATGCTTGGAGGAAGAGAGCAGCCATAGCTAACCTCATGCTTTCTCCAAAAATGGAATTGTAAGTGCCAAAGGATAATTAAACCTCAGGAAGCAATCAAGCCACTTTGCCAGGAAAAACAGCGGCCAGCTTGGAGACTGGCAAACAACATCTCGGTGCCAATGGCCCTTGCTGTGGGGCTTCCATAAGAGAGACAAGAGAACATAGTGGTGGAGGAACTTGGCAATTTTGTTTTCTTCAAACAGGAACTAATTAAAAAAAAATGACTCTAGGATTAAAAGAAACTCGGAGTGTTCGCTGAGTTTATCCAGACTCTGATGGTATAGAGCAAGGGTCTCCAAACTTGGCCGCTTTAAGACTTGTGGATTTGACCTCCCAGAATTTCTCAGCCATCCAAGTACCCCTGGCTTTCTCTCTTCCTCTCCCTCCTTCCCATCAAAAGGGAACTCTTCTCATTGACCTCCTGGAGTTAGCTGGAAAGAGGAAGCTGACTCCAGGGTGAGAGTCAGAATAGCACAGCCTCTTTAAGGAAAAGCTGACCCCGAATGAGCTTAACCTGGAGCGGAAGCATTAAGGAGCCAAACTAGGTAACATCATCAGTGCTAGAAGGGAGGGGGTTTTGTGGAGAGGAGGAGGAGGAGGAAGAGGAGGAGGAGGAGGAGGAGGAGGAGGAGGAGGAGGAGGAGGAGGAGGACGACGACAATGATTGTGGAGATGCTTTCTGAATTTGGTTGTTTTCTTGCAGACATTTCATGAGCCAAATTAGGTAACACCATAGTACCGATGAAACGTCTGCAAGAAAACAACCAAGTTCAGAGAGCAAAGGTCCTCCTCCTCCTCCTCCCTCCTCCTCCTCCTCCTCCTCCTCCTCCTCCTCCTCCTCCCCTCCTCCTCCTCCTCCTCCTCCTCCTCCTCCTCGCCAAACCCCACTCCCTTCTAGCACTGATGATGTTACCTAGTTTGGGTCATGAAATTTCTGCAAGAATACAACCAAGCTCAGAGATCACCAAGAACTCCATCCCCATACTTCTCCCTCCTCCTCTACTCCTCCTCCCTCCTCCTCCTCCTCCTCCTCCTCCTCCTCCTCCTCCTCCTCCTCCTCCTCCTCCTCCTCCTCCCCCCCCTCCTCCTCCTCCTCCTCCCACTCTACTCCCTTCTAGCACTGATGATGTCACCTAGTTTAAGTCATGAAACATCTGCAAGAAAACAACCGGGCTCAGAGAGCATCAAGGACAAATTAAGACTGAAGTATATAAAACTGCAATTGCAGTTCTCCGCTTTTAATATTTTTCCCACTCTGGACCTTTCCCTTAGTATTAGGTCATTTAGTTTGCCTTCATTTTAGGGTGGTGGGCAGGAGGTGTTCTTGTTTTAGAAAATACTAGAGCTTCAATGGCCTGTCTAGGCGTACTGCTTTTTCAAAACGTTAATTGGACTGTGAGCCGCATCTTAACTTCTTCCTTTATTTACTTCCTTCTATTAAGGACATTTCTGTAGGGCCCTTCAATCATTTCTCCAGGCTATTGTCTTGGACAGTATTATTCCCCATCTGTCTAGGCAGTGGGTAGCTCTGATGCAAAGAGAAGATAAATGGGATGAAAATGAATTATCTTTGGCAAGGCATACAAAGCGACTTCTACAATTAAAAATGATCCTGCTCCTTCAAATTAAAAGGCGGACAATTAAGCAGCTACCACTATTGTCCCTCCCTACCTGAAATTCTGCATTCCCAGTCGACCTTGTTTCTTAATCCCTTGAATTATCCCTGGAAAAGCAAATTCTCCAGACCTCAAATTGGCTGGAGAAATCTACTTGTACCACCCTTGAAAAGAACTCTGGGGAAGGATTTTTTTTCTCCCCTTCTAAAGTTGCCCAGGTATCTGATCTCCATGGCAACCTCACCTTTCAATAGGAGAAAGATGTTTGGAGAAGGGGAACTATTGTGTTTTGCATGAATTAGGTGTTGGGAGACAGCTGGATCTCTAGTTGATTCTTGGCCCATTGTGTCAGTCAAAAAACTGTGCTTCCTCCGTGCAGAAAAACATGACGAATCCACGAGAAAGGGGACTTTCATATTAGAGTCCCCCCCCCCCCCAGGAAAACTTCATCTTAAATTAGTTCCTTCAGGTGGAAAACTAGGAATCGAACCACTAAAGCAGAAATCCCCCTATCTGATACGCTCCGGGGGTTTATGAACTACAGTCCCCATGTGGCCTGTACAGCAGCCAGAACGCTTGTGGGAACTGACTCTTCAAAAACGCCCCTCTTGGGATAAGGCCAGGGGTCAGGTAAAAAGAGAGCCAATTGTAAAGAAGAGAATCAAGATGGACATCTTATCTTCTTCAGGTCCAACCCCCACCACGTTCTCTATTGTTCTCCAAGGACACTCACCCTCTCCAAAATTTGGGAGGCCATGTAGTTTCGTGATTTGAGAATCTGTCCACTCTCGTCGAAATAGCTTTCCCATTCTGCAGCATCGATGGGCAGTTTCTTGATCCCCTGAAACACAACATCAACATATTCTCAGGAGGTCAGCAGTGAAAAAAGCACTGATAAAGGTGACCCAGAAAAAATGAGAAGCATGAGGAATTTCATCCTGGATGTTATTATCTGATAAGCTTTCCGGCGTCTTTTTCACATCACATTTATGATGGAACAGTGTAGGATGCCTTGTTGCTTAGTCTACCCCTCAGCTTTGTACGATGGTTCCTTGGAGGAGAGCTAAGCATTTTTTCCCCCTCCCTTATTCAGCACACCAAAAGGTTTTTACACAGGCTGGAAGGAGACCTAACAAAGGACTAATTGGGGGAATTTTCACATTATGGAATAATAATAATAATAATAATAATAATAATAATAATAATAATAATAATAATAATAATAATAATGTTGGAAGGGACATTGGAGGTCATCTAGTCCAACCCCCTGCTCAGGCAGGAAACCCTACACCATTTCAGGCAAATGGCTGTCCAGTCTCTTCTTAAAAACATCCAGTGTTGGAGCATTCACCGCTTCTGGAGGCAGGTTGTTCCACTGGTTAATTGTTCTAACTGTCAGGAAGTTTCTCCTTGGTTCTAGGTTGCTTCTCTGCTTTCTTATAATAATAAAAAATAAAGTTGGAAGGGACCTTGGAGGTCATCTAGTCCAACCCCCTGCTCAGGCAGGAAACCCTACACCATTTCAGGCAAATGGCTGTCCAGTCTCTTCTTAAAAACATCCAGTGTTGGAGCATTCACCGCTTCTGGAGGCAGGTTGTTCCACTGGTTAATTGTTCTAACTGTCAGGAAGTTTCTCCTTGGTTCTAGGTTGCTTCTCTGCTTTCTTATAATAATAAAAAATAAAGTTGGAAGGGACCTTGGAGGTCATCAAGTCCAACTCCCTGCTCAGGCAGGAAACCCTATCCCATTTCAGACAAAGGGCTGTCCATTCTCTTCTTTAAATATCCAATATTGGAGCATTCACTGCTTCTGGAGGCAGGTTGTTCTACTGGTTAATTGTTCTCACTGTCAGGAAGTTTCTCCTTAGTTCTAGGTTGCTTCTCTCCTTGCTTAGTCTTCAAGGAAAAAAGAAAGCCCAGTTGCCTTTTGAAAAAGCTCCTTGGGGACGTGCTCCACAATGTTTATTGAGAGGATCTCTACACCGCAGACAAAGGCCATGGAAGGGAAGAAGAGTCAGGTGTAATAAAAAGGACAGATGTTTGAAGAGATTTCACCTGGGGGATCCATGTGAACATTGCCTGAAACCCATGCAAGATCTTCATAACATGCAGTAGACTATTGGTATGGAAGGGCATATGGACATGTAGTTGCCGACTTGTAACAGTTCATTTTGTGGCTGTTCGAAGTTACAATGGCACTGAAAATAGTCACTTTTGACTATTTGTTACGCTTGTGACCACTGCAGCAATCAAAATTCAGATGCTTGTCAACTGACTCATATTTATGATGCTTGCAATGTCCCGGGGTCATGTGATCCCCTTTTTGCGACCTTCTGACAATCAAAGTCACTGTGGGGAAGCCAGAGTCACTCAACAACTGGGTTACTAACTTAACCACTGCAGTGATTCGTTAACCACTGTGGCAAGAAACGGCGTAAAACGGGGCAAAACCCGCTTCACAAATGCAGCACTTAACAATATGAATTTGGGGGGCCCGTTTTGGTTGTACGTCGAGGGCTACCTGTTTCTAGACACGCAGGCCTATACATGCGGCTGCATTGTGCGTGAGCATCAATTGTGGCAAGGTGCGTATTGACAGCTTTGTCGTGTTTCTCATTCCTTGCCTTTCTATAGCAGTGAATTTTCCGATTGGAAAGCCTGAGCTAAGAGATATTTGTAAATGAGATTTAGTTACCAGGGGTCGACACAGATTGAATGCATAATTAGTTGCAAACAACTGGTGAGAGGAACTTGTGGGGGGGGGGGAATAAAACCGATGGAATCAGGTAGAGGGACCATTTAAGCAAATCTCATTAAAATCACAGAAGGTCTGCAGCTCCTGGAATCGAAAAAAAGAAATAATGGGATTCAACTTTAAGGCGCAGGAGTTGTTTCAGGTGGGAAAAAGAAGTGTCAGTGTGGAAATGGAGAACGTTGCAAAACCTACTGAGAAAACAGCAGTAGAAACCACCTTACTTTCTAGAATAATAATGGTTCCATAAAGTCTGCTCTGGTCTTGCCTCCAGAAGTTGTGGGTGCTCCAACATTGGAGGTTTTTAAGAAGAGATTGGACAGCCATTTGTCCTGCTTGAGTTGGAGGTCAGACTAGAAGACCTTCAAGGTCCCTCTCAATTCTGTTATTCGTTATTCTGTTGTTCTGATGGGGACCTCAAGAGAAGAATAGGAGAATGTCCCATGTGATCTTCTTCTGAGTTATAGGCCATGATGGGCTTTTGGGTGGAACTCAAGGACCATAAGAAAGGCTGAGCGCCAAAGAATGGAGGCCTTTGAACTCTGGTGCTGGAGAAGACTCCTGTGAGTCCCCTGGACTGCAAGGCAATCAAACCGGTCAGTCCTAGAGGAGATCAACCCTGACTGCTCTTTAGAAGGCCAGATCCTGAAGTTGAAACTCAAATACTTTGGCCACCTAATGAGAAGGAAGGACTCACTGGAGAAGGGCCTAATGCTGGGAAAGATGGAGGGCAATAGAAGAAGGGGACGACAGAGAATGAGATGGCTGGATGGAGTCCCTGAAGCAGTAGGCGTGAACTTAAATGCACTCCAGAAGATGGTAGAGGACAGGAAGGCCTGGAGGAACATTGTCCGTGGGGTTGCGATGGGTCGGACACGACTTCGCAACTAACAACAACAACAAGGATTAAAGACAGCAACTTACTAATAATGTTGAGACAGATGCACTGAATCCTTTGAGTTCCTCTTCCGATGAGGTGGGGCTTTTAAACCTTTCGCTCTCCATCCTCTCCTTCATCTCTCAATGTTTGTCCTCATCCAAGCTTAGCAAGATCTGCATTCGCTTCCTACCTTCAAAGAAGCCAGGCTCTCTTTTTGAGCTTTTCTCCCTCTTTCTATCCAGTAAAATAGCCCATGGATAGATGAGGCAGGGACTTTTTCTGCTTTCGGAACAACAGTAGGTTTCCGTAGCACTGTGAAGTCAACAGAGGCCTGAGGTCATAATGGAAAAAGCAGATGGTTGAAGAAAGGATTTGGTGGACCTGGGAGTTCTAGAATCAAGCTGAACGTCAATCTTGAAAACTCACTGGATGAGTTTGCTCAACCTGGCTAGCAAGTCCACTGAAGTCTGAGGTTTTTTTTTTTTTTTTTGAGGGGTCCTTAGTACTCTCTGAGCTTGTTTGTTTTTTTGCAGACCATTACCCAACTAGGTAACATATCAGTGCTAGTAGGGGAGGAGGAGGAGGAGGAGGAGGAGGAGGAGGAGGAGGAGGAGGAGGAGGAGGAGGAGGAGAAAGGAGAGGAGGCAGATGATGAGGAGGAAGACTGTAGAGTCCTTGGTGCTCTCTGAGCTTGCTTGTTCTCTTGCAGACATTTTATTACCCAACTAGGTAACATATCAGTGCTAGAAGAGAGTAGGGGAGGAGGAGGAGAAAGAGGAGGAGGCGGCAGAGGAAGAGGAGGCAGAGGAGGAGGAGGAGGAAGACTGTGGGGTCCTTGGTGCTCTCTGAGCTTGCTTGTTTTCTTGCAGATGTTTCATTGCCAAACTAGGTAACATCATCAGTGCTAGAAGGGAGTAGGGGTGGAGCAGAGGGGGAGGAGGAAGAAGAGGAAGAGGAGGAGGAGGACGAGGAGGAGGAGGAGGAAGAGGAAGAGGAGGATGATGATGACTGTGGAGTCCTTGGTGCTCTCTGAGCTTGGTTATCTTCTTGCAGATGTTTCATTACCCAAACTAGATAACATCATGGGGGCTCATTTGTTTATTTGTCACTTAGTGTGCAAACCCAGTGTAAGTCTTCTTAGCCTAAAGTGATTCTTTCCAAGCAAGATTGCCACATCGTCTCTTTAGCAAGATGCGTTGAGACAAAGGGGATGGGTTTACAGAAATTTCAACAACTGAATTATTCTCCATTTTAAAGCAATATATCCTCGTTTCTTCAGGGTACAAATGTTCTGATTCTCTTTCTAATAGCTTTCTTGGGCTGTGGAGGGAAACAGATCTTTTACTGATAACTGCTCAGGAGCTGCTTTTCAGGTCCCAGATCCCTTCTGTAGAAGCAGTGTCATCTAGCAGGACCTAGGAGAGGTGTCTTCTCTGTTGTGGCCTCCATCCTCTGGAGTAGCTGCCCCTCTGAGGTTTGGTTGGCCTCATCCTGGTTAATCTTTCAGAAACATATGCAGAATGATAGCAGGATTTGGGTTTGGCCAGTCTAGAGAAAAGAAGGAGTAGGGGTGACATTATAGCAATATTCCAATATTTGAGGGGCTACCACGAAGAGGAGGGGGTCAACTTATTTTCCAAAGCACCAGAAGGCAAGGCAAGAAACAACGGATGGAAACTAATCAAGAAGAGAAGCAACCTGGAATTCAGGAGAATCTTCCTAACAGTGAGAACAATGAGACAATGGAACAGCTTCCCTTCAAAAGTTGTAGGTACTCCATCACTGGAGGTTTGTAAGAAAAGACTGGACAGCCACCTGTGTGAAGTGGTATAGAGTCTCCTGCTTGAGCAGGAGGTTGGACTAGTTGTCCCTTCCATCTCTATTCTTATTCTGATTCTTTCAAGGGCCTGGCCAAGGTTCAAGGAAAGCCTAGCTGAATGGCCAAATGATTGCAAGGATGAGTAACTTAAGTGGCACTGGTTACAGAATGTTCTGTGGTTGAAAGAGTGTTAATTTGGGCATGTGCGTGTGTTATTGTATCACTTCAGTGTATTGTAAGCTACCCAGAATCAACTACATGAGATGAGTGGCTATACACATTGTTTAGATAAATACAAGGTGGAGATTTTGTAACTGGAGATGCTTGCAGGGGACTATTTACTAAATAGTTTCCTGAATCTTTATTTGTTCAGAAATGAAACTGCCTACAGTCTATTGGTGTTGGGCAGCTAATACATTTAAATAAACAAACACTCAGCTGTAGGAATTGAACTGTCCCAGTTGCCCTTTAATATTCATCACAGTAACCTCTCAGTTACTGAGCATGTTGGTTAGCAAGTGAGAGATGCTAGCCATTGTATTCTAAAGTGGATCTGATGTATGTGTCTAGGTTTGGATAGATGTCTTTGGTGTAGCCATGAAGGTCAATCCTGATGCCCATATGTGGATTTCAAGCAGATGTGAATAATAACAGAGTTTTTCTTTGCTAAAGAAATAACAACAAAACAAGCTGCAAATGGATGGGAAGGTATGAAAGCAGAGGTGTGGAACAATAGGGTGGGACAACTGTGGAGAGAAAAAAAACCCCTTTGAACTCTAGGGACAGTTAATAGACAGGGAAGGATTAGCAGACAGATCCATTCAAAATGAGACTTGGATGGGAAAAGAATGCACTTTGCTTGCAATATATGTTTCAAGAATGTAAAACAGGGTAGACGTCTAGATCCCCAACTGCAGGGTTTCTTAACTTTGACGCCTTTCAGATGGGTAGACTTCAACTCCCAGAATTCCCCAGCCACCCATCTTAAGGTTGAGAAGCATTGCTCTAACTCTAGTCACTGTATTAATTTTGGACCAGGATGGTAGGAGAAAGAGAGGGAAAGAAGGAAAGAAGGAAAGGAAGGAAGATGACAGAGGGAGGGAGGGAGGGAGGGAGGGAGGGGGTGTAGGTTTTGATCCCATCCCTTCTAACAGTAAAAATCATGACATGGGGTCCTGGATCATAAGAAATGTCATTATATAAAACCAAATCATTGCTCCATCCAGGTTAGTTGCACTGGATTTTATACCAGATTCCAAGTCCAGTTTAGCATATTGGATGAAGCCAGTCCTGGGTCAGGATTTGACCTTTGGCCAAGTCAAGACACACTATGGCTTAGTTTATGAGGTGAACTCAACCGAATAAGGACACCAGCTCTAGGGAAAGGCATAACTGGGATGTCCTCTAGAACCTCAAGGTGGAAATAAGCCATGGGTTGGCTGATCAAGATCCTTCTTTTAGAAATACACAACCAGTTATCAGGTGATGTAATTGATGTGATACATTGAAGTTGTTTCATAATACTTTTTTAAGTTAGCTGGCAACAGTTAATAATACCATGGTTAATTTGATGTACACTGACTGATGGGATTTTCAGAAGCCAGCCAGTACTAAGTGCTAGGTTGAACGATATTTACTTCAAAGTAATTGTGATTAATCTTTCTTGTAAGCATGTGGCAATCTCTAACAAAGCTTTATCTCTATCAACTAGCTAAGGTTGTCTCTTTGGGGCTAGAGTAGAATGAATTCCCCTAAATACAAAGAGAAAATTAACTGACTTAATTTGTACTAGCCTGGATTTGGGCAAGTCTCACATAAAGCATAAAAGCCAGGCACAAAGAATGAGGACAACAACTGGTGTGACACAGACCTACCTCTTGTAACCATCTGCTACTCCAGTCAACAGTTGTACTCATTGGCAAATGTTCCTGGCTGCTGTTTAGAGAGATGTTAGTAAGAACAGTGTGATTTTAATGTTATGTTTAGCAGAGGCAATCTGAAATGGTCCCTCACAGTGCTAATGGATAATCACTTAAATACGAGCCGTCCATGTGCAGCAGCCACCAAAAAAAGCTAATACAATCCTTGTTTATATAAACAGAGGCATAGAATCAAAATCAAATGAAGTGTTAGCAAGACCACATCTGGAATGCTGCATCCAGTTTTGGTCTCCACATCGCAAAACAGATCTTTTGGGAAAAGTGCAGAGAAGAACAACTAAGATGATTAAAGGCCTGGAGACTAAAACATATGAAGAACGGCTGCAGGAACTCGGTATGGCCAACCTAGAGAAAAGAATTGGGGTGATGTGATAGCAATATTCCAGTATTTGAGGGGCTGCCACAAAGAAGAGGGGGTCCACCTATTCTCCAAAGCACCTGAAGGCAGGACAAGAAACAATGGATGGAAACTAATCAAGGAGAGAAGCAACCTGGAATTAAGGAGAAACTTCCTAACAGTGCGAACAATCAACCATTGGAACAGCTTGCCACTGGAAGTTGTAGGTACTCCATTAGTAGAGGCTTTTAAGAAGAGACTGGACAGCCACTTGTCTCAAATGGTTTAGGGCAGGGATGTCAAACTGCCGGCCTGCGGGCTGGACACGTCACGAGGAAACCACGCCCACCCCATTGTCGGCAATGGGGAAAAAGCTCCGATACGTCGTGTGACGTCACGTGACGTCGTGAGTTTGACATGTCTGGTATAGGGTCTCCTGCTTGAGCCCGGGGTTGGACTAGAAGACCTCCAAGATCTCTTCTAGCTCTATTTTGATTCTGATTCTGCTCCTTGAATGTAGTGGAGATGACAACAATTGACTTGGAAGGAGTTTCACAAGAAGCAGATGTCATGTGATGATTTCCTGGAGCTGATATTAAATTTATCACACACACACACACCAAAATCTCTTTTAGAATATTCTGTTGTCCCCTTATTTGAACATTCTCTAAAGAAGGGAGCTCCGTAACACAAGATATTTGATTTCATGCCCCAAATTGTCCTTGACTGTCTTCAAAACCTAACAGGCAATGGCATCTAAAGTTTGGGTTGAAGGTGCTAAGATACTAATGATTGCCGGATCCAGTCTCCGGCTAAACCACTTTCAAACTCTTGATTGTAAAATTTAGGCAACAAATTTCCACATTCAGCCTGTTATTTTTTTTTCCACAATGGAAGGAGAGTGGAATTGGGAATCTTGCCAAACCTCTCTTTCTCCCATAACTAGTGAATCTTATTAATAATTAGCACCGCATCACAATTTAATGTTTTGCTTAGGCATTGATTTTCTTTTAACAAAAAGCTGAGCCTGTAAGTATCTCCTGCGTTCTCAGTCTCTTCAGTCCTTCTTTCCTGGAATATAAATTTCCCTTCTATTGTTAAATTATACAAAGGAAAAAAAAAACCCCTAGGTGATTATAATGAAGAGATAGATATTTTCTGGAAAGTAGATGACTGTTATAAATGTACCG